CAGCAACTGCTAACTGATACAATAACCAAAGTGAAAAGAACTGAGGGAAATTAAAATGACTTGTTGCTTGGTATTTTTAGCCTTTGTTGTGATATTTGAAGACTGCAATCATGATTACTGTGTTATTCAAATTTATTTTAGAAAATTGTCTTTAAAAGTGACTATGTTGAGGTTCCTTTCTAGGTAAACAGGGGAGGTTGGAAGGTCATGCATCCTTGGGCAGAAAAACCTGTGACCCCAAAATCACAGGAATGGACAAGGATTCAAGCTCTTCTGTGAAGAATCCTCTGATCATGAAGATTGATTAGATTTCTGAGCATAAAGAAGATATATCATAGATGATATTGTTTTGGTTCAGTCATCACCCATTTACTGATTGTAATAAAGTCTAGAAAAGGGGAGATATTTCATTTAAAGCAATAAAAGAAATCATTCATTTGTTTTATTGAATGTGGCACTGAAATGTGGGCAGCAAGCCACCCAGGTGCCGAGGCAAGAGACTGAAGTCACAAGCTGTTCCAGTATAACAAAGAAAATACTTAAAATACGAATAGTTATAATTAGACATAGAATATAGACATGATTATATATGAATTTTATCAATCATTAGTTTGTAGCATTATTCTTTTTTTTTTTTTTTTTTTTTTTTTTTTTTTTTTTGAGGCGGAGTCTCGCTCTGTCGCCCAGGCTGGAGTGCAGTGGCCGGATCTCAGCTCACTGCAAGCTCCGCCTCCCGGGTTCACGCCATTCTCCTGCCTCAGCCTCCCGAGTAGCTGGGACTACAGGCGCCCGCCGCCTCGCCCGGCTAGTTTTTTTGTATTTTGTAGTAGAGACGGGGTTTCACCGTGTTAGCCAGGATGGTCTCGATCTCCTGACCTCGTGATCCACCCGTCTCGGCCTCCCAAAGTGCTGGGATTACAGGCTTGAGCCACCGCGCCCGGCCAAGTAGCATTATTCTTTATTCCAATATTATAATAATGTCTGTTCTATAATTATAATCTAGGAAAAATCAGGCCATACAGAGATAGGAGCTGAAGGGACACGGTGAGAAGCGACCGCAAGCCAAGAGTGAGCCCCCTGTCACGCCCGGACACGGCCACTAGAGGGCTCCTTGGTCTAGCGGTAACGCCAGCGCCAGGGAAGGCGCCCGTTACTTAGCAGACTTTGGTCTAGCGGTAGCGCCAGTGCCTGGGAAGGCAACCATTACTCAGCACACTGGGAAAGGGAGTCTCCCTTTCCCTGGAGGAGTTAGAGAAGACTCTGCTCCACCACCTCTTGTGGAAGGCCTGACATCAGTCAAGCCCGCCCGCAGCCATCCGGAGGCCTAAACCTTGTAACGCTGTGCTTCTGCGGTCATGCTCCTGGTCCACTTCCATGTTCCGCCCTGTACACCTGGCTCTGCCTTCTACCTAGCAGTAGCAGAATTAGTAAGAATATTAAAGTCTTTGATCTCTCCGAGAAATGCATAGAAGAAATAATGACGTAAGCTGTCCCCTCTCTCTCTCTCTCTCCACCTCGGCTACAAAACAGCGAAGGGCTCTGGTGGACAGGTGACTCCCGTGACCTTACCTGTCGTTGGAGATGACTCACACACCCCCTTGCCTCATATACAATAAATAACAGTACAGCCAGGCATTCGGGGCCACTACCGGTCTCTGCCATCTTGGTGGTAGTGGTCCCCTGGGCCCAGCTGTCTTTTCTTCTGTCTGTTTGTCTTGTGTCTTTATTTCTACGATCTCTCATCTCTGCACATGAGGAGAAAACCCACAGGCCCTGTAGGGCTGGTCCCTACACTGAAACAGGAGGGTAATTCAATAATAAAACATAAAACTACCCAATTATTCTTTTTTTTTGAGATAAGAGTCTCACTCTGTTGCCCAGGCTGGAGTGCAGTGGTGTGATCTTGGCTCATTGCAACCTCTGCCTCCCAGGTTTGAGTGACTTTCATGCCTCACCCTCCCAAGTAGCTGAGAATACAGGTATGCACAACCACACCCGGTAGAGATGAAGTTTCACCATGTTGGCCAGGCTGGTATCGAACTCCTGACCTCAGGTGATCCGCCCACCTTGGCCTCCCAAAGTGTTGGAATTACAGGCATGAGCCATCACACCTGGCTTACCCAATTATTCCTCACTGCAGTGAGTGATATCCTTTATACACAAACAGTCTTCCATAATGCAACAAGTAATATCTACGTGTATACAGATATTACATATATAATGAAAAAGGTTTTTTTTGCATGATAATACAATGCATATTTTTATTTACTCTTTAGATTTTTTTTCATTAGGACTTTAAAAAATGTGTTGTTTTATTTTATTTTTCCATAAGTTATTGGGGTACAGTTGGTATCTTGTTACATGAGTAAGTTCTTTAGTGGTGATTTGTGAGATTTTGGTGCACCCATCACCCGAGCAAGATACACTGCACCCTATTTGTAGCCTTTTATCCCTCGCCCCCGCTCACTCTTCCTCCCAAGTCCCCAAAGTCCATTGTATCATTCTTATGCCTTTTTGTCTTCATACCTTAGCTCCTACGTATCTGTGAGAACATACAATATTTGGTTTTTCATTCCTGATTTACTTCACTTAGAATAATAGTCTCCAGTCTCATCTAGGTCACTGCAAATGCTGTTAATTCATTCCTTTTTATGGCCAAATAGTATTCCATCAGGAACCTCCACGCTGCTTTCCATAGTGGCTGTGCTAGTTTACATTCCCACCAGCCGTGTAGAAGTGTTCTCTAATCACTGCATCCACACCAACATCTACTGTTTTTCGTTTTTTTTTTTATTATGACTGTTTTTGCAGGAGTAAGATGGTATCGCATTGTGGTTTTGATTTGCATTTCCCTGATCATTGGTGATGTTGAGCATTTTTTTCATATGTTTGCTGGTCATTTGTGTATTTTCTTTTAAGAATTGTCTACTCATGTCCTTAGCTCACTTTTTGATGGGATTGTTTGTTTTTTTCTTATGATTTGAGTTTGTTATAGATACTGGATATTAGTCCTTTGTCAGATGTATAGATTGTGAAGATTTTCTCCCACTCTGTGGGTTGTCTGTTGACTCTGCTGATTGTTCCTTTTGCTGTGCAAAAAGCTCTTTAGTTTAATTAGGTCCCAGCTATTTATCTTTGTTTTTATTGCATGTGCTTTTGGGTTCTTGGTCATGAAATCCTTGCCTAAGCCAATGTCTAGAAGGGTTTTTCCAACATTGTCTTCTAGAATTTTTACAGTATCAGGTCTTAGGTTTAAGTCCTTAATCTATCTTGTGTTGGTTTTTGAATAAGGTGAGGGATGAGGATCCATATTCATTCTCCTACATGTAGCTAGCCAATTAACCCAGCACCATTTATTAAAAAGGGTGTCCTTTCCCCACTTTATGTTTTTGTTTGCTTTGTTGAAGATCAATTGGCTGTAAGTATTTGGGTTTACTTCTGGGTTCCCTATTCTGTTCCATTGGTCTATGTGCCTATTTTTATACCAGTACCACGTTGTTTTGGTGACTATGGCCTTATAGTATAGTTTGAAATCAGGTAGTGTGATGCCTCCAGATTTGTTCTTTTTGCTTAGTGTTGCTTTGGCTATGTGGACTCTTTTTTGATTCCATATGAATTTTAGAATTTTTTTTTTTTTCTAACTCTGTGAAGAATGATGGTATTTTGGTTGGGATTGCGTTGAATTTGTAGATTGCTTTTAGCAGTATGGTCATTTTCGCAATATTGATTCTACCCATCCATGAGCATGGGATGTGTTCCCATTTGTTTGTGTCATCTATGATTTCTTTCAGCAGTGTTTTGTAGTTACCCTTGTAGAGGTCTTTTGACTCCTTTGTTAGGTGTATTCCTAAGTATTTTATTATTATTATAATTTTTTTTTTTTTTGCAGTTTCTTGATTTGATCCTCCACATAATCACTGTTGATGTATAGAAGAACTACTGATTTGTGTACATTAGTCTTGTATCTGGAAATTTTGCTGAATTCTTTTATCAGTTCTAGCAGCCTTCTGGAGGAGTCCTTAGGGTTTTCAAGGTAAACAATCATATTGTCAGCAAACAGTGACAGTTTGAATTCCTCTTTACTGATTTGGATGCCCTTTATTTCTTTCTCTTCTCTGACTGCTCTGGCTGGGACTTCCAGGACTCTGTTGAAGAGGTATGGTGAGAGTGGGCATCCTTGTCTTGTTCCTATTCTCAGAGGGAATGCTTTCAACTTTTCCCCATTCAGTATTATGTTGGCTGTGGGTTAAATACATAATTTTAAATTTACTCATACTGACTTTTATCTCTGACTCTAATGCCATACTAAGACAAACCATTTTTTTTTTTTCAAATTTGTCCATTTGGAGACATGTAGATGAAAATCAGTTTTTTACCAGTGACAGTGTATGCACTTTGGACACCGAGCTGAATAAGAAAAAGGATTCTAAAGATGAGAATAAAACCCAGTGGCAAGTGATCAAACAAGCTGATGTGTTATCACCATGTTATCAGGAAGAACAGTTTAGGTGGTGACGTACAAAGGTATAACGAACATCAAATTGAAAAAGTGTTTCCTTCTACTATAGAGTTACACAAATGACTTTCATTTCCAAGTGTAGTCTTCTTCCCCCATTGAAGAAGTACAACATACAACATTTTTCAAAAGAAAAGAAAAATTATTTAGTATGTGTCATTTGAGAAGAAATTATTCTTAAGAAATCCATGTTGCTCCATGAAATGAATGGGATTCATGTATTTTTATTTTAATTAATTAATTAATTTGTTTATTTATTTTTGAGACAGAGCCTCACTCTGTCACCCAGGCTGGAGTACAGTGGTGGGATTTCAGCTCACTGCAAACTCCGCCTCCCCGGTTCCCACCTCAACCTCCCAAGTCGCTGGGATTACAGGCACCTGCCACCATGTTTAGCTAATTTCTGTATTTTTCGTAGAGATGGGATTTCACCATATTGCCCAGGCTGGTATCGAACTCCTGACCTCAGGTGATCTGCCCCCCCTCGGCCTCCCAAAGCACTGGGATGCCAGGCATGAGCCACCATACCTGGCCCCAGATTCCATCTATTTCTGACCTGTAGTTTGTATCAACAGGTGAAAATACAAAAAAAGACAAAAAGCAAAACTGTCTAGATAGCAGACAGAGCAAAAAACTTGATGAGTGAGTCGCTAACATTGTATAAGGAAGGTGTAATCAAAGTCACGGATAATCCAGGAGGTGCGTAGAAGGAACAATTTCAACGTCCATATTCCAAACAGATTTCAAAGCTCTGAGGCTTTGAGTCCTGCTATTATGGGCACTTCTTTAGCTGAAGGAAAATTGATCCTTTTAGAGTTTTCCTCCAGAGGAATCTCACCAGAGCCCTCTTTATGTCCTTATTTCTCAGACTGTAGATGAAGGGGTTCAGCATGGGGGTAACCACCGCGTACATCACCGAGGCTGCAGCACTTGAGTGTGAGTTACGGGTTGCAGCAGAACTAAAGTACACTCCTAGGAGCGTACCATAAAATAAGGAGACAACTGAGAGGTGAGATGCACAGGTGGAAAATGCCTTGTACTTCCCCTGAGCTGATGAGATTCCACGTATGGAGGAAACGATCTTAGAATAAGAATAAAGGATCCCAGAGAGGGGACCACCGCCCAGCAGTGCAGATGCCAAATACATCCCCATGTCATTAAGAAAGGTGTCAGAACAGGCAAGGTGGACCACCTGATTAAGTTCACAGAAAAAGTGGGGGATTTCCAAGTCTGTGCAGAAGGATAACCACAACACCATTAAGCTTTGTAACGAGGAATTCAGGGCACTCATGATCCAGGACGCCAGAACCAGCAGCCCACAGAGCCTGGGGTTCATGGTGACCGTGTAGTGCAGGGGGTGACAGATGGCCACAAACCGGTCAAAGGCCATCACGGTCAGCATAAAGATATCCAGTCCCGCAAAGAATATGAAAAAGCACATCTGGGTGATGCAGCCTGCATAGGTGATGACTCTGCTCTGTGTCTGGATGTTCACCAGCATCTTCGGGACAGTGGTGGACACAAAACATATGTCTATGAAGGACAAGTTGGAGAGGAAGAAGTACATGGGGGTGTGGAGGTGATAGTCTGAGATTGTGACCAGGATGATGAGCAGGTTCCCAAGCACGGTGACCAGGTACATGGACAGGAACAGTCCAAAGAGGAAGGGCTGCAATTCTGGTTCCTCTGAAAGTCCCAGAAGAAGGAATCGTGAAATTTGTGTCTCATTCCCTGCTTTCATATTGTTGATGTGACTTCCAAAAGAGAGAGAAAGAGAACATGACACAAGCATGCATTACAAACATATCAGAAATATTCTCACTTATATTTTACAGTCAAGAAGTTAATATTGGCCGGGTGCAGTGGCTCACTCCTGTAATCTCAGCACTAGGGGAGACCGAGGTGGATGGATCACCTGAGGTCAGGAGTTCGAGACCAGCCTGGCCAACAGGGCAAAATCTGGTCTTAGGTAAAAATACAAAAAGCATTAGCCAGGGGTGGTGACTCGTGCCTGTAATCCCAGGTACTTGGGAGGCAAAGGGAGGAGAATCGCTTTAACCCAGGAGGCGGAGATTGTAGTGAGCCGAGATCATGCCACTGCACTAAAACCTGGTTGACAGAGTGAGACCTTGTCTTAAAAAAATATATAAAGTAAAATAATAAATAAATAAATAAATCCCTACAATTTAATGACGAATGAAAAACACAAGTACATTTTTAAAATGCCATACACTGTGTAGATGGTGACGAAGAAGGAGGTTAGAAGGAAAGAGTGGATGGGTATTAGATTTTCCCGAGTGTTCAGGCAGGACCAGCAGAGAAGGTAACAACTGAAGAGAAACTATAATGAAGACAGGGTGGGGGTCACTATGTTCCCTGCAGAAGTGTGTGCAACACAGAAGAAACGATCAATGAAAGACCCCGAGGAATGTGCTTCTTTCAGATATTCGAGGACTGCGAAGAAGACAGTGTGGCAGGGGAATGAGCAAGAGGCGAGGGCTGTTGGAGGATGTTGGGGAAGGAACCGTCCTCATAGCTGCTGAAACTCGAAGACACAAGGAGTCCCTCTGTCCAGATATCGATGCATTTTCACTGTATTAATTTGGTTGCAAAGGTGTTTCATGAACTGCAGTGCATGCCCATTCTGCTTACTGATATTTTCTGGAGATCTGGCCTTTATGATGGGTTACCTTTTGAAATATAGAGCTCAGGTTCCCTATTTCTGAAACCTGTGCTCAGCCTAAAGTCGTGCACCCACACATGTGCACACACAGAGAGAACGCATCCATACATGCAGCCATGGCTTCCTGGGGCCATGGTACTCCCTCACGCTTCTCATCCCACTCAGTATTAGAAAGGAATGGACACCAGGCAAGTTCTTAATATCAAATTATCTTTCCCCTAGAGGATATAGATATGGTAGCTAGAAGTTCCAGTTTGGAAACTTCCCATGCATATGTAACCTCAAGGTTCTATTTTGAGATGGCCTTTTCCTGCCCTATCTTTAAAGAATAAAAATCTGCTTCATAAGCAGAGAGGCAACTGGCTTGGTGGCTCACTCCCATAATCCTAGCACTTTGGGAGGTCAAGGTGGGCAGATCCCCTGATGTCAGGAGTTCGAGACAAGCCTGGCCAATATGGGAAAACCTCGTCCACGAAAAATACAAAAATTAGCCTGGCATAGTGGCGCGTACTTGTATTCCCAGCTATCTGGGAGGCTGAGGCAGGAGAATCACTGGAACCCAGGAGGTGGAGGTTGCAGTGAGCTGAGATCATGCCACTGTGTTCCAGCCTGGGTGACAGAGAGAGACTCTGTCTCAAAAACAACAATAAGAAAACAAAAAAACAAAAAACCCCGAGAGACAGAGAGGGAAGAATCAATCAGATCTAAAGGGAAAAATAATCTAATAAGCTCACATAGTCCCTGAGAGACCACAAGGAAGAAAAAGTTTCCCTAGTTTTGAAAACTTTCCAACTCCTGTTATATCCCTGAGGCCCAGCAAAATTCAGAAAAGACAAAGGGAAATTTACCGAATATCAAACATGGTGATATCTTTTCCATGTCAAGACACTGATATGTTGAGAACCGCTATGGAAAAAAATGAGCAAATGATAAAAACCAACTATTCAAAAAGGAAATAAAAAGGAACCTCTGGGCCAGCTCATTTGTTGTGTCTGGGTCTGTCCTGTGCATTGTACGATGTTTATCAGCTTCCCTGTTCTCTACTGACCCTTCCCAGCATGACAGCCAAACTAGTCATTGCTCAATGTCCCCCAGAGGACAAAATTACCCCTGGACAAGAACCAATTTTTAACATAAAAATCACAAAATTTTCTATAGCATTTATCAACTGAGAAAGGAAAGGGGAAGACAAGCTTAAAAAAAAAAGAAAAACCTATAGTGAAATATAAATAGCACATGTGTTATGCATAGCATACTACTCATCCCTTGTGTAAACACTGTATGAATAGGTATGTGTGCATTTGGAAAGAGAAGATTTATGAGAAACTAAAATCTTTTAGAGAAAAGAATATAAGTGAGGATGCTATTAGGTTAAGAATAGTTATTTCACTTTATGGCTGCATAGTATTCCATAGTGTATGTCCTTTGCAGGGACATCGATAAAGCTGGAAACCATTATCCTCAGCAAACTAACATAGGAACAGAAAATCAAACACCACGTGTTCTCTTTTATCAGTGGGAGCTGAACAATGAGAACACATGGACACAGGGAGGGGAACAACACACATGGGGGCCTGTCGGGTCGTGGAGTGGTGGGAGGGAGAGCATTAGGAAAAGTAGCTAATACATGCTGAGTTTGATACCTACGTGATGGGTTGATAGGTGCAGCAAACCATCTTGGCACACGTTTACTACATAACAAACCTGCACATCCTGCACATGTACCCCAGAACTAAAAATAAAAATTAAAAAAGAATAGTTATTTCCAAACAGCTGTATGAAACAACATAGAAGGAAAGTCTGAAAAAACCTTATAGAAAAATATGACAATAATAATTTACTGACACGAAAGTGCACCACTAATTCATGGTGAAATGACCTCTTCTTGGAAATTGAAGAAAATCACAGGAAAATGTTTAAAATGTGGGGAGGAAACAGTACTAAGGTTATAATTTCATCTTATATAAACATATAAAGCTTCAAATGTTTAGGAGAGATAAAGAGATGCTAAGGAATGATTTTCAAATAAGGACCAAAGTGATGCAACTTCTTCAAATAGATTGAATGGAAAAAGTCAAAAGACATGATAAGAAAGGGCAGAGGTATGAAAAGAAGCTGGAAACGTATGTAAAAGGAGATTTATTTAGTGAAATGATATGGAACAACTTTCTACACTTTTAAAGCAATGAGGGGAAAACAATATAACCAATGGACGAATTTGGCTACTTAAGATTTATAAACTTTCACAAAACCCCCTCAGATACGTTGATCCTTACATAAAAGAAGTAAATGTGCAGTGAGCCGAGATCCGGCCACTGCACTCCAGCCTGGGCGACAGAGCCAGACTCCGTCTCAAAAAAAAAAAAAAAAAAAAAAAAAAAAAAAAGAAGTAAATGACAGATCCCAAAATTGAGGAAAGCTCCAATTCTTATGTTGTAAAGAATGCAATCAGGCTGTGCATGGTGGCCTATGCCTGTAATCCCAGCACTTTGGGAGGCGGAGGCGGGCGGATCACCTGACATCAGGAGTTCGAGACCAGCCTGGCTAACATGGGGAAAGTCCGTCTCCACTAAAAATACAAAAATTAGCCAGGCATGGTGCCAGGTGCCTGTAATCCCAGCGGATCGGGAGTCTGAGGCAGGACAATCGCTTGAACCTGGAAGGCCAAGGTTGCAGCGAGTCGAGATGGCACCACCACTGTACACCGGTATGGGCAACGAAAGGGAGATTCCATCTCAAAAAAAAAAAAAAAGATGCAGTCGAAAAACAGGGACAAAAACAAGGCAAACCCATCATATAATAGCAACAAACTTCGGCAGACAATTTGCAATAGAGTGGCAAATGGCTAACAAACACAAATATATTCAGTGTCACTAGTATGAACATAATTGCAAAGTAAAAGTCATTAGTACACACCATTTTTCACTTCTTACGTACATTTTAAAGTTTCATTTGATTGGCCGGCCGTGGTGGCTCACACCTGTAATCCCAGCACTTTGAGAGGCCGAGGCACTCTCTCGAGGGTGGATCACGAGGTCAGGAGATCGAGACCTGGCGAACATGGTGAAACCCCATCTCTACTAAAAATACAAAAAAATTAGCCAGGCATGGTGGTGGGCACCTATAGTCCCAGCTACTCGGGAGGCTGAGGCAGGAGAATGGTATGAACCCAGGGGGCAGAGCTTGCAGTGAGTGGAGATCGTGCCACTGTACTCCAGTCGGGCGACAGAGCGAGACTCTGTCTCAAAAAACAAACAAACAAACAAACAAACAAAAAAACCAATTTCATTTGATTACCCAAACAAGAGAAGATCCTATAAAATGCATGCCTCATGAACTGCTGAGGTCAGATAGCGTGGAGAAGGAATTCATTGGTCTAGATCTATCTCATCAATATGAAAACATATTCAAACATGCCTCTTTTTAAAAATCAAAAATGAAGTACCCTCCACAGCCAATGTCCTGTTTCTCTTTGGTGTTTAATTGCAAAGGTCCTTGGGTACATGTTCTGCTTTTATTGGAACCCCTTCAAAATCCCCACTTCCTGGGCCAGGAACGGTGGCTCATGCCTGTAATCCCAGCACTTTGGGAGGCCGAGACGGGCAGATCACTAGAGGTCTGCAGTTTGAGACCAGCCTGGCCTATATGGAGAAACCCTTTGTTTGCTAAAAATACAAACATTAGCTGGGTGTGCTTGTGCACACCTGTAATCTCAGCTACTCGGGAGGCTGAGGCAGGAGACACTTGAACCCGGGAGGCAGAGGCTGCAGTGAGCCAAGATTGAGCCACAACACTCCAGCCTGGGTGACAGAGTGAGACTCCATCTCAAAAAACAAAACAAAACAAAGCAAAAACACAAAAAGCACTTTCTCCTCTAATTGGTCTCCATTGCCACTACTTTCTATATTGTAACCTCCATTGCTGAGCTCAACGTTCACTTATATTTTTGAAATCATAAGGAAATGGAGCAATTAATTAATTAGGCAATCAAGCAAACAACCTCACAATCTCTCCACTCCGGATGAGGCTGGATTTCCACTCAGGTGACTTCAGGTTCATAG